ATTAAAAATCCTGCCTTTTATTGGCACAAATAACTCATCTTCTTCAATTAGATTTTTTTTTTCCCCTTTGGTAATAGTAACTGTCTCCTAACCAACATATAAGCAAGGAAAAAATAAAAATAAAATTAAAGAAACCAAACACTTTCCATGCTAAAAAGTAGAAATTAGTTTCATGTTGTTTATGTTGAACACCATTAAAGCCACATTTCATCAAAAATAGTTCAAGGTACTTATCTTCATGCATTTCTAACATGTCCAACATTACAGTTATGAGACATAGTTAATTATGGTCACAGCATGTGGTTTTCAAAATACAGTATTCAATCAGAAAAAAAGCAAACAAACACCTGGTAGTTTTATTTCTTTTAAAGTCAACAAAATACATGCCAACTTTCCTACCCAGCCAATCCAAAGTCTGAGTTTAAAACATAATTGCATAACATAGGCAACTTAAAAAGCATAGCCCTCAAATGATCTCCATTTGGCCATTCGGAATAAGCAAATAATCCCTGCTAGCCTGAAGCTTCTGTGCAAAGCTTTATAATAAAATTTAATAAATAGCAATCCAAATCCCTCTAACAATAGACTTTCTGCTGCACTGGCAGACTCTTTGTAGCAATATTCCAAACACAGCGCTCCATCCGAAAGACGCTGCCAACTCCATGTATTGATTTTCCCACTGTAATTTAAAACAGAAACAGGATTCACCTAGTTTGGTTTTCTGTGTGCTGTTAGTGAAAATAGGATATTGTGTGAAGTCTCAACGTAATCCTCCTTGGCTAAAGCGGGTTGCTGCCACCCATTGCCCTCCTAATTCATTGCAGGAAAAACAATTGTGAAGACAAAGTTTATAGTGGAAACAGAAACATTCTCTATAATTTGCAGAAAAGGATATGTTTCTGCATTTATGACATCTTGATGGTTAGCGAGTGGAAAAAATTACAGGGTGTCTCTGCCCTGCAAATCTGGTAGGCTGATGTCTAGAGGCTTTTAAAAAACAAACCAAAAAGCCCTCTTGAAGAAATCTTCTATTTCTTGACTTTATATTCCTTCACTGAGTGAGTTACAAGACTGTTCAACACCAACAACATCTTCTGGTGATTTGGTTAGAGCTGTTTGGAAATCGAGATACATGTGCCAAAGTCCGCAGCCTCTGCTGAAGCATCTTGCTTCAAGAATGAAAGCAAACATTTCACATTTGTTGTGGGAAATGGAGAAAAAGTCTTGGAAGAATCACTGTCCTCGAATCACACATTGTGAACTGTAAAAACTTAATGTCACTGCAAAACACCCGTTAAAACAAGTCCTGTTCCTGCTTCCTGACTTCTTCCCCTTCCACAGTCTTCCTTGCAGTTGCAGACATCATCTCCTTCACAGCATACTGCAGTTTTGCAGGATGATTTGTAATCTCTTTTTGTCTCTTTTGTTTCCTGTTCAAAATATTTACTGCAAATCTACCAGCTTGACCTTTTCTGGCCCTGCAGTTGTGCATCCCCTGAACCCCAGCCAACGCCGAGGAAACATCCAGACAGGGTTTTACAAAGGCAGTCAGTTGTGGCTCAGCCTCTGGTGCCTATCTCAGCTATGACAGTGAAGATCTTCATCCCATGGATAGCGTGGAAAACCTTTAAACAGATTTCCAGTTGGAACAAGGGATGGGAGGGCAAAGCTGGGGATAGGTACTTCCGAAAAGAAGGGATGACATTTCTTGTGGGTCCAATAGGTTTTCCACCACTGAAGAGAAAGGCAGCGCAGGGCCTGGGAAGGCTGTGTTTGCTTTGAAAATTACAGGGCACTGCATGGTAGCACCATATTTTCAATCTTGCATCAGACTGGCCAGCAATAACCCTTATTTTTTCACCCTCCCTTGTGACAGCCACCCCAAGACATCTCTGTTGCTTTACTCTTCCCAGGCTCTGCGCACACATGAGCTTTTTCCAGGTCTCAGTTCAAGCCTAATTCAGGTTAAGAACAGGATATGGCCTTCCTTATCTGGCAACTGCTTTAGTGTCAGACGTGTGACTGGTTTGGTCAGTACATGTTCCAAAACATCCACCCAAGTCCCCCCTGAAATGACTGGCATTGGTGTTGATCCCCACCTAGGGGCCAGGGAAACCTGAAGGCTGGACGCACTCCCACAGCTGAGCTGCCCTGGCCACCAAGATCTGATACCCAGCCCCTGGTCGTCAGAAGACCTCATCTCTGAAGCTGCAAATTCATTCCTCTTCTTGAGAACTAAAACTCTTACCAAAAAAATGAAAACCGATAGAAAGAAAGAGGAACATGTCCACAGACTCACAGGGGCTGGTCTTGGTTTTACACATTAGGAAATGGCCCTGGGGTCATCTATCTTCCTCTGACAGCAAATTGCCACAGCAATATGCCTCTTCTGAACATCCACAGTTCAGCTCTCCCATCCAAACCTCCGGGTACGGCTGTGGCATCCCCCACTTACCAGGCACATAGATGTAGATGTCCTTCCCTTCCACTTCCCCATCCTCCACTTGAGTGTGGTTATAATAGCAAACATACAAGCCCGTATGAGCGGCTGAGGCATTTCCTACTTCGAGCACCGTCACGAAGAGGCCACTGTTGTTTTCTTCATGTCTAATGTCTATCCTGTGGCTTCCCTCCATCACTGGGTACTGCCAGCTCACTTCGCTGTCTCCAGAGCATTTGAGCGTGAAATTGGAATTCAGCTGTACCACCATTTCGTTCCGATTGGGAACAATAGTCGGCAGAGGAAGCTGGCAAAATGTTAGGAAGGGTCCTGCAAAAAGACATGAATAAATAGCATATGAACACACAGAACAGCCCCAGCACAGCGATGGGAAAGAAAGCAGACTGGACCCAGAGGAGCTTTTTTTCGGATGGTTTCAGACATGTTGATGTCCAAGGAAATTTGCCCTTGTTAAAAGCCAGAGCTTTGCCCAATGGATGGCAAACGGCTTCCCTTTGAAATGCTAAGTGTTTGCTTGCTGACTTCTGTTTGTCAAATCAAGAGGTGAAAGACAGAGGTGAAGTTAGAGATGGCTCCCAATCCACACCTCAGCTTCCCAGCCCCAAATGTGGGCATGTTCGCTGCAGACCAGGGAATCCCACACCCCGGCTGCTGGATCTCGGGCATCTTACAGCAATGGTCAGGAAACCAGCAGTGCTGTCAGCCTTTGAATAAGCTCACAACTGAAACTGAGAAACCACTTCCCAAGACCAACACCTGCATTTTACATCTGGCTTCTATTTCTGCAAAGGGCCGGAGCAGGGGCTTAGATCAAAAATTTGTGCATCGGGTCTACCTCTAGCCAAAATGTACAGAAGGTTTATAGCCAAATAAAACTGTAATTCACTGAACTAGATGTTGTAGATGGCACTGTTTTTCAGGCGCACTCTCCAGTTACAGGCTCAGATTTGCAAGCCTAGGTAACTTGTAGGTGGGCTGGTGCAGGTCCAGCTCCCAGAAGGAAAATTAGAGGACCCACACCCTGAAAAAATGGGGAATTCACCAGAGAAACAGATTTGCTGTTTCAGTCTATCAAATGACCCATACAAAACAGATAGGGTAGCCCACAATAAACAACTACTTAGACCCACGGCGTGAAAGTGGGGCTCTGTGCAATAAACCAG